ATCGTATTGTAGGCCATGTGTTAGTCTATACGGGGCACCGCAAAAATCACGACCCCACGGATTCGTGGCACCGGAACAGCGCAAAAGCGCTTTGCACGCCGCCTCGGCTCAACACTTGAATTTCGTGCCTACCGAGACTGACCACGTTTTAGCCCCCGAGCCAGGAGGCTCTTCCGTCCAAGCATACTTCTAGTGTTCCCTCTGAGCTGGGTGAGTGTGAGCTAGCTCACCGTTTTTAAGCCTCCGGCTCACACATTTTTGCCTTCGCTCAGGAAGGAGAGCTCCAAAGCAAACTGATTTATGCAGCAGACAAATTGCTCGCAACTTTAAGGCCCGTAGCTCACCAAGTAGAATTGTTGCTCACAAGACTCCACAGCTTAGAGGGAACATTGCAGTTTTGACCCCCCCTACTTGTGATCTGAAGGCCACAACCCCCCCGTCAGCGAGCGCCGGCCCCTGAAGGTGCATGCATACTTGGAGGTAGTAGACCCCACTGAAGTCAGCGGGGTTTCCGCTTGCGAGGAAAAGCAAAACAGAAACCCCGCCCGCCCTAAACCCCTGGGACAGACTTGCTCAGAAACGGACCCAATGAAACTCTGTGGGCTTGACTCCCCGAGTAAGTGAGATTTCGGGGTTGCCAAGTCGTCGTCACATGTGCCTGGCAAGCCCATCTCCTCCCAGAGTCGGACTTTCTCCCCACGCTCTTTGTCTTCCCCGTTGCAACAAGCCCAACTGCGCTACGAGGTGCCCTCAGGCGCACTCTCTGGCCATGCGCCTCTCCACTTGGGAGCCAGAGGAGGCGGCTCCCTTTCTGCCGAATGGAGAAGGACTCTCCCAAGCGCCCGGCCCTCGGCTCAGAGCTGCTTGACTGAGCTGTCATGGGCTTCTCTGCCACTATAAGAGGGAGTCTTTTGGGGGCTTTGCAGAATCCAGGTGTGTGGGCTTGGGGGGGGGGAAATTGTGGCCATGCCCGTCTTGCCTCGCTGCACTCAGGGCCCTCCCCTGTTGGTAACCGACCTGCCCTTTTCCAACTCCCATTTCCTGCTCCGTGGTCTCAAAAGCAAGGATGTAAGCGGAACGATTTGCCCCCCCCCCCGGTTTTGTGCCACTTCTGCCTGTTAGCTTGAAATAACTGCACTGGGGAAAACAGTTCTGAGTTTAAACCGTTAAGAAGAAAATGGCTCTTTAGTGAGGGCGCTTCTGTTTGTCTTGCAAGGATTTGAGAACTCTGTTTCAAAGTGGCCTTAAGGAGCTTGTGCTTCAGGCTTAACATTCTATTTTCTGACTTTCAAAAGACCCTCATGCTGAAAAAGATGATGCAATTGAAGCAGAAAAGTACCCTGCCCGTTTTTGTGCAGGCTTTGTTCTAGTTTTCAGTTTCAGCCTTTTTTTTTTTTTTTTGCTTGTGGGGCATCGAAAAGCACCATAACATTTATACTATTCTCTCCGCCCTGAAGCCTCATCCTATACATATTTGCTCAGACCAGCTGAATTACTTGGGGGTTAATTCCCAGGTAAATGTGTCTAGGGTTGTAACCCACATCCTCTCTGTGGTTAGATGGAAGCTTGGTTGGAATGCAGGGTTGGTGAGTCTGAAATACTTTGTGCTGTTCTGGATCTTGTTTGTATAAGCTATGTTATAATCAGTGTTCCCCCTAAGGTGAGTTAGTGTGAGCTAGCTCACAGGTTTTTAGCCTCCGGCTCTCACATTTTTGTGTTTGCTCAGGAAGGATGGGCTCCAGAGCAAACTAATTGATGCAGCAGCCAAATCGCCCGCTCAAATGCCGGTAGCTCACAAAGTAGCATTTTTGCTCACAAGGCTCTGCAGCTTAGAGGGAACATTGGTTATAATACATGCAAAAGCAGCTAAGTGTACTTAGTTTGCACACTAGAGATCCATAGCTCTTGCTGGTGTGCTAGGAAAGCATGTGTAACTACTTAGTGTGGGTTGCAGGGCAGTTTAAATGAGACCTGAGTCCATCCCAAGTTGTAGTGCCATTCAGGTCTGCGTTGCTAGGGCCCCGGCCACACGGCAGGGGAAAATGCGCTCGAAGGCGCGGCTTTTAAAAGCCGCGCCAACGTTGATACGGCTCGGCGGGATCCCACGGATCCCCCGGCCGAGCCGCCTTTTCTCCCCGGCGCGATCAAACGCCGGAGAGAAAAGACGGCTCTAACCGGGAGCCGGCCGATCTGCGCATGTCGGAGCATGCGCAGTTCGGCTCCGGCCCGGGGTTGAGCCGGCGCAAGGGAGCGCCGGCGATCAGACGCCCGGGAAGAAGCGCCTCATCCGTTGGAACCACCGAGGTAGGTGGTTCAGTTTGAGGCGGTTCTTCCCGGGTTTGGGCCAGTTTGGAGGCGGAAGCAGAACGCTTCCCAGATGTTGTGGTGTGATCGCGCTGCTTTGATCCGCCTCCAAACTGTCCCGTTCCCGGGCCAAATCGCCTGGTGTGAACGGGGCCAAAGTGGAGCATTGAAGAAATCGAGACTAGGACCTGATCTGGCGAGAATATATTTGAGCCGGTTCTGGAATCATGAACTCTGTACCTGAAAGCAGGTTATCTAAATGCTGGGCTAATATTTTGAATACATTTCCTGTAGAAATATTTTGACTCCTAAAATATGTAATACCTAACTTTTGTGGGCAGCACACATCTTTGTGCACTAGCACTTTATACTATGTTATGTTTTATAACTATATTGTTGTGATTTTATTAATTTCTGTTTAAGTTGTTTTATATATTCTCTGTAAGCCGCCCTGGGCCTGCCTGGCAGGGAGGGCGGGATGTGAATGAATGAATTAAATAAATAAATCTTGTTGATGACTGGCTATCCTGATCTGGGAGCTAGAATAAGAGTGTCACTTAACAGGACTTCGTTCAGATCATGGCAGAGTGATTGTTCGTTAATCCTAGTATGGCTGAATTTGAATCGTTCGAGTAGGGGTCTCCAACCATATTGAGCCTGTGGGCACCTTTGGAATTCTGACACGATGTGGTGGATGCAGCTGCAAAATGGCTGCCCCAAAATGACTGCCACGAGAGAGGTGCAGCCATTCACAAAATGACTGCCACAGCTCATTTACAGTCACACAGTGAAAACCTTGTGCTGTGGTGGCAGCTGCTGCCAAAGAAATGTTTTTGAAAATCTGCACAGCCAATCAAAAGGCTTGACCCCGCCCACTTTCTAAAAACACTTGGCAGGTGGCAGGAAAGGTGTCACTGGGGACCGTGGTGCCCACGGGCACCATGTTGGAGACCCGTGCATTAGGGTGTTGCTGCAATCAAGTATGAATTCCCGTGGCCTTACAAGTTGCCATGTGAACTTGATGTTGAGCTACAGAGTTTTTGCAAAGTGAAGTTTCTTACGCAGTGTCATAAGAACATAAGAGACGCCAATGTTGGATCAGGCCAAAGGCCCATCCAGTCCAACACTCTGTGTCACACAGTGGCCAGAAATACCAGTGCCATCAGGAGGTCACCAGTGGGGCCAGGACATTAGAAGCCCTCCCACTGTTGACCCCCCCAAGCACCAAGAAGACAGAGCATCACTTGCCCCAGAGTCCCTATCTATACCTTGTGGCTACCCTGTGGATGTCCATATTATATTTGTTAGAAGAGATTGGCTAGAAAAAAATTCAGTTGCACATGAATATTACCTTAAGTTCTACTGTTACCCATGAAACATTAGCTATTCATGGATATTGATTCAGGAGGAAGCACTTTTTTGGAGTCATAATATTTTAGAAAACAATTGCTGAAGATTTTGTTAGTTACATTCCCATGGTTTTGTGTCTTTTAAAAGAAAAACGTTTTAAAGTACCACTGGCATATTCCTGTATTTTTAACAGGGAAGATCAATTTGATTCGTACAAAAACAGGTGAATGTAAAAGTAAAATAAGGTCAGCTAAAATACAAAACAGCTATGTAATACCCAGGGGTCATTTCGTAGAAAAAGAGGTGCAGGAGCTCATTAGCATAACTCATTAGCATAACTTATTTGCATATGCCACACCCCCTGACATCACCGGAAGAGTGTCAGAAGGCAACACCCACCGCTCAGGCTCCACTGGACTGTTTTGGATTGCTAGCTATTGGGGGTGGGGGAACATGCAGATCTGTCCTCGCAGAGGAGGGAGAGCTTGAGCCTGAATAAAACTTGGTCTTAAGGGTGCCACTGGACTGTTTTAGACCCGGGGGGCGGGGGGGGGCTCTTCAACTTACTTGGCTGCTTCTTGCTCTGACTGAGGGCTGCTGGGAGCAGGGGGTGGGGCTTGTTGCATGTGCCCACCGCCTGGGCTCTTTACTGCCAGAGCTCCGCTCCTGTGCGCTCCTGCAGGAAATGACCCCTGGTTATGTTAGTCATTCTATCGTTAACCAAGGCTAACTGGCCTACTGCACTTAGTAGCTTTGAAATTAACACGAAAAACAGTAGAGTATTGGTAGCAAGGATAACTGGATCTTTTTTAGTTATCTAAGGTACAGACTTACATTGCTGTTGATATATATACACAAGCACACAGTATCGTGTTGCAAAATAGTGCAGTTTTTGGTGCAATGCCATTGCATTAATTCTAAAGCCAACATTTCAAAAATTAAAATGGGAGGACAGCTCAGAGGTAGAGCGTCTACTTGGCATGCAGAAGATCCCAGGTTCAATCTCCGGAACCTCCAGCTAAAAATCTCTTGTGGTTTCAATAACTGTGACATACACTTAAGACTAATACTGCTTAAATAAATGTCTATTGTAATGCCTGCCTGCTGTTTAATACAGAATGCTTAACTGGATTTATTTCTGAATCTGGCACACAATACGCCAAAAAATAATTCTGATAATGACCATACTAAACTGGTGTGCAGCAAATCTTGATGTCTCGCATAATCAGGTTTGAGCTTCATCATTTATTCTGGTAAACTTAGAATAGTAACTAATTGAACTGCCATCTTCATTTCACAGGGCGACCTTTCAAGAGACAAGAAATTCTCGG